TTTTTGCCAAAAATAAAAATAAAAATAATTAAATCTTGTTTTGAAAGGAATTTTAAATCGAAAAATTAACAAAAAGAGGCCTTCGATTTTTGGAATGGTTCAGTCAAATCACTAAACAACAAATCCAAAGACCAAATTTGACCAACAAGCAACAAGGAAAATAAAAAATGGGGCAAATTCATCGCGGTCACTAAACTTCAGAAAAATCTTAATTGGGTCACTGAATTTTAATTTATTTTAATTGAGTCATTAAACTTCAATTTGTTTTTAAATTTCACCACTCAATCACATTCCATGACCTATATTGCCTTCCAAACTCATGAAAATTCCTTAGCTGACAACCATTCTACAACTAATATTGCATGTAATAGCACCTTAAAAACGAAAATAATAAAATGAAAGTCATTACAATCTTTCCAGATTAATCAATCAAAAGACATTTTCTATATAATTTTAACACTTTTATAACGTGCCGTAATGATAAGTGAGCATGCCACTCACCAATTACATGGAAGATTCATTTTTTTTTTGTCTCGATTAGTCAAACAATTTGGAACATACAGTGAAATTTAAAACTTCCAATATCCCAATCCAAATTTTTCTGAAAGTGAGTGATTTCAGATGAAAATTTATGGTACATATGCCAATTAAATAATTTTCATCATTTTGTGATGCTTAGTGAACAGTATTCTAAAAAGCAACGCCTTGCACTTTTTTGCGTTTTTACACTTTCTAATTTTTTTCCCCACTTTTTAACTCTTTTTTTTACGTTTTTTCTTCTTTAAATAATTTTTAGAATGATTTAAAATTTTAAAATAATATTTAAAAAAAAACTTTTTTACGCTTTTTTACACCTATGCATCGCCTAGCCCATAGCTTAGAGGGGGGGGGGGGCCTACAGCCCCCCTCCATCCAACACAAGTCTTTTTTTCTTATACCATTCGTAAAATGCATTATTCATTATAATTTAGTCCCACAAATCATTGTTCAAAAAGCTCGACTCGTGTTAGAAATAAATCAGGAGAGGGCAAATTGTACACAAATACGTCGCTGGATTGGGCTCCTACAAGAAGGGCAATCCTTCATCCCTTACTTCTTGTGCAGCTCGTTTCACGTTGAACATACCACCTGATGTTCACACGGGAGGAATATAATAGACATCTCCTCGGACAGACATTTCACACATTCTCGTTCACGTTTTACACCTCCATTCCTATTGATATCCTCAAAAATATAAGATATTGGAGAATCCTTCGGGACTGGAGAATTTATCCATTTGGCTAGTTTACAAGCATAGCTCAAATCTATACACATCTATGGGCAGCAATTTTCGACGAGTCAGTCTTCAATCTTAGCTGGGACATTTTGATAGATCCTGGCTGCTGGTCCCAATCCTCCTATGCTAGTTGCTTTCAGAATGTACTAATCTGCTCATAAAATATCATACTAGACCTCAGTTTAGGCAGAATCAAGAATGAGCTGTAATGATGAATTGGAACTATAACAGATGCAAGATGAAAGAGCTAGTGACTTGATATTGAAGAATGCCTGAACAAAATGGATAACAAATTCCAAGGCTGTTTGAGAGGCTTGGTCTCTCCCCTCTCTCTCCTCGCAGAATTTCAGTGAAAATCAAAAGAGCTAGTGACTTGATATTGAAGAATGACTGAACAAAATGGATAACAAATTCCAAGGCTGTTTGAGAGGCTTGGTCTCTCCCCTCTCTCTCCTAGCAGAATTTCAGTGAAAATCAATGATCCCAAACCCTCATTTCCCTCCATCTTTATTCACAATCCCTATCACAACATTATTACATTTTTACCCCTATCTAACTAACTTTTGATGACTTGGCAAGTCCATTATTCCTTCTCGCATATGTTAAATGGATAGAAGGTCTATCATTACTCGTCGCCCTGAAATCCACCTTGTCCTCAAGGTGGAAGCTTGGAAATTGTAGTCTGAAGGTCTCAAAAGGCTGCCAGGTTGCCTCAAACTCCGACAAATTCTTCCATTTAAGTAAGATATCAGGGCCCCCAGCCCTCGCATGGATTAGGACGAACTCTCAGAACAGACTCATGTTCCAAGATAAACTCCCCATCTATTGACAGCTGAGGTGGAAGAGATGAAACTGGTTGCAGGTTGTAAATGGCCTTGTGGAGCTGAAATACGTGGAAAATTGAATGGATCGCCGCTGTAGATGGCAGTTTTAATCTATATGCTACCTGCCCCACCTTCAATTTTACTTCAAACGGTCCATAATACCTCGGGGACAACTTTTCAAATGGTCGTTTAGCCACTGACTTCTGGCAACGAAGCCTAAGTAAACCAAATCCCCCACCTCAAACTGAATCTCATGGCGGTGTCCATCTGCAATCTCTTTTATCCGCATTTGTGTTCTAGAGAGCTGCACTTTTAGTTGCTTCAAGTCTTCATCTTGGTCTATCAAAAGCTGCTCCACAGAAGAATTGACAATCATTCATTTCTCAAAGGCATGGATCTGAGGCGGTTCACGACCATATACAATTTGAAAAGGAGTGAGCTTGGTTGCCGTATGGAAGGAGGTGTTATTCTAAAACTCGCCCAGTGTAAATAATAACTCCACACCTATGGTCTCCTGGAAGCGAAGCATCTCAAATATGTTTACAAACCGGTTCACAACCTCCGTTTGTCCATTGGTTTGTAGATGATAGGCAGTACTATGCTGGAGAGTGGTTCCCTGAGCTTTGAACAATGCAGTCCAGAATGTACTCATGAAGATTATGTCTTTGTCAATGATGATGGAGTGAGGCATGCCATGCAGCCGTACCACCTTACAAATGAATACCTCAGCTACGCTGGGAGCAGTAAAAGGGTGTTTCAACCAAACAAAGTGTCCATATTTACTAAGACAATCCACCACCACCAAAATTATATCAACCCCACTTGACTGCGGCAGTCTTTCAATGAAATCCATTGGCATATCTTCCCAAACTAACATAGGTACCGGCAAGGGCTGTAGTAGGCCTCCTGGGGACACCGCGACATATTTATTTCGTTGACAGACAGCACACTCCGCCACATAATCTTTCACTTTCTATTTCATCCCGTGCAAAAAACTTCCCTGGCGATCAGCTTGTAAGTCTTAAGAAACCCTGAGTAACCCCCAACTTTAGCATCATGGCACTCCTACGACATGAGAGTCACAAAAGGAGAACTACTGGGCAATACTATTTTTCCATGGTAGCATAAGACACCGTCCACCAATGCATATCCCGTCCTCACCTCGAGTCCCTCCTGTAAATCCTTCACCACTTTTCCCAGTACCTCATCCACTGATACTTCCTTCTTAATCTCTTCTAATTGAAGAACCTTAGGGCTAGTAATGACTAGGCAATTATTGCTGGCTGAATTCTGAAAAGAAAGTCTCCAGCCTTATTTTCCAGCCACAGATGATATTGAATGTCAAAATGGTACCCCCCATTAGTTTAATAAGCCATTTTTGGTGATCTTCGCTCACCAAACGCTGCTCTAATAAAAACTTCAGACTCCACTGATCTGTTCGAATAAAAAAATTCCTGCCCAACAAGTAGTGACGTCATTTCTGGATATCAAAAACTACTGCTATTAATTCTCTTTCATAAACTGATTTTTGCTTGGTAATATGCGGTATAACTCTACTGAAAAAGGTAATAGGATGATTGTCCTGCATTAATACTGCCCCTAAGCCATGACCAGATGCATCAGTTTCAACTAAAAACTGTTTAGAGAAGTTGGGTAACGCCAGCACTGGAACACTGACCATTGCCGCCTTGGTTTCCTCATCCTATCGGAACCCATCCTTCTTAAGTAACTTAGTCAAGGGCCAACCAACCTTAGCGTAGCTAAACACAAAACGCCCTTGAGATTTCGCGGACTCGACCACAGGATCATGGATTCAATTTTTGACTGATAAGCTACGACCCCTTTCTCAGAAATTATATGTTTGAGATATTCCACCTCCGCTTATCCGAAAAAACATTTCTTCTCATGGGCGTTCAACTTGTTTTCACGTAAAACCCTCATTACCGCATCCAAATACTGTAGGTATTCCTCCAACGAATGACTGTAGACTAGGATGTCATCGAAGAAGACAAGGACAAATTCGTCAAGTAGGGTCTGAACACCTTATTCATCAGATGTTGAAAAGTTGTTGGGGCGTTTGTGAGCCCAAAAGGCATGACTAGAAACTTATACTGACCCTCGTGAGTGCGAAAAGCTGTCTTGGGGATATCTTCTGGCCTAACTCTGATCTGGTGGTAACCCGATTTTAAGTCCAATTTCGAAAACACTCGAGCCCCATGCAGTTCTTCAAGCAATTCATTGATTACCGGGATCAGAAAACGGTCAGGCACCATAACCTTGTTAAGCGCTCGGTAATCGACACAAAGTCTCCAACTACCATCCTTTTTCTTTACCAATAATACTGGGCTCGAAAATGGGCTTTGAATCACCTGGATGATTCCTGCAGTGCAAGCTTTTCGATTTCATTCTTCTGAACGTACGGGTATCGGTAAGGTCTTACATTCATCAGTGTTGCACCAGGTTATAAAAGAATGATGTGTTCTCGTGCTCTTGGAGGTGGAAGTTCATTTGGCCATTCGAAAACACTTCGATGATTTTGCAGTAACTCATTAATTGAACTGTGAACTTCAACCATGGGTGTATCTTGTTCCACTCCCAAACTTCCCAACTTCAACAAAATTCCATGTTCTCCTTCCTGGAACGACTTAACCAGTTACTTCAATGACACCTGCGACTTATCCAGACTAGGGTCACCTTGCATCACAATATTTTCTCTAGCCACCTTGAAACGCATGATAATGTACCACATTTGACCTGCATCTTACCCAGTGTCTCCAACCACTTCATCCCAAGTCTCACATCGCTACACCTTAACTTCAGAGGTAAGAAGTCGTCGACCATCTCAATTCCTGACAGTGAAACTACCATGCCTTTACAAATTCTCCTTCATTTTACTGAAATTACATTGCCCATTATAATCTCGTAGCTGGCTTAGTCCGTAACTCGCAAACCCAACTTTTGGACAAGCTCACTTGAAATGAAATTGTGAGTAGCTCCACAATCTATAAAAACTATCACTGATTCCCAAAGGATCGCCCATTGTAACTTCATAGTTTTGAAGGCCGTAAGTCCTACCACAAATTTAATGGTCAGTTCTACGGTTTCTTCTACTGATTGTTCATCTTCCTCCCCAAAGACCTCCACAAGTTCCACAACCTCATCTTCTTGCACTAAAAGCACCTGCAACTCCCTATTCTTACATTTGTATATAGGAGTGAACTGTTCGTCGTAGCGAAAAATAGTCTTCTTTCTCGCCTCAGCTGTAGCTCGCCGTCGTTCAGACGTTTGAAGGGCAGCAACCCCATGTTGCCCTTCACTGGCGGAGGAATGGCGACTGCCTGAGATTTGGCCATCGCTGCTTGAATCGGCTGACCCAGTTGTGATAGGTGCGTAGCTCCCTTTAGATATAAGCTCATGTACCTTAGACCGTTTCCAATTGGGCTGGCTGAACTTATGGACTTAGTTTGAAATGGGCCGACTGGGACTGGGCCTGATTTAGTGATTCATTTCGATCTTCAACCCTTTGGGCCAACTCCATGATTTTGCCCAACCCTTGTGGCCTAATCATCCTTAGTTCTGCCCTAATTTCTGGTTTTAGCCCATTTATAAAAATTTCCCTCCAAAACTGCTTTTGGAACCTCAACAACTCAAACAATTGGCGAAAATACCTCACCGTACCTTCATGTCTCAGAGCCAGTAATTTCTCCGGCACGTGACCCTCTGGCGATGGACGAAATCTCTACAATAAAATTTTTAGGACCTCCCATCGCGTCGATGGCTGCCTTCCAATTTCCCACTAACACCAAGCAAGTGCCTCATCTTCGAAACAAACTGCGACAACCTTGATCTTCTCCCAATTGGAGAATTGATTGATGATGAAATACCTTTCTACCCGAAAAATCCACGCATCAAGTGCTTCACCACTAAAAATCGGCATTAACCAGCGGTCTCGATGGTCCTCCCTCCTAGAATCCTCACAGTGGATCCGTTCTTCGGAGCTTCCCCCAACTCCTGATTTTTGACCGGAACATAAGAGCTCACAGTCGTGCCGATGAATTTTGTGAATTCCACTTTTCCTTCCTGTTTCTCTCTAGCTCGCCCAACTTTGTCACCACCAGTTCGATTTCATTACCCCCATCTAGCCCTGCAATCCATCGAACCTCGTCTCCAATTGCCCCACCCGGTCGGCGATAGTCATTTTCCTAGATCTCAACGCTCTAATACCAAAATGATAGGATCCTGGCTACTGGTCCCAATCCTCATGTGCTAATTGCTATCAGAATGTGCTAACCTACTGATGAAATATCATATTAGACCTCAGTTTAAGTAGAATCAACAATGAGCTGTAGTGATGAATTTGAGCTATAATAGATGCAGGATGGAAGAGCTAGTGACTTGATATTGAAGAATGAACTGAACAAAATGGATAACAAATTCTAAGGCTATTTGAGAGGCCTGGTCTCTCCCCTCTCTCTCCTAACAGAATTTCAGTGAAAAATCAATAATCCCCAAACCAGCCCTTTCCCTCCATCTTTATTCACAATACCTTATTACATTTTTGCCCATATCTAACTAACTTCTGATGACTTAGCAAGCCCCTTATTCCTTCTCGCATATGTGAAACGGATAGGAGGTCTATCCCATTTCTTCTTGGAGCCTCTCGATATCATCTTTATACTTCTACAGATTGTTTGCTGCTTTTGATTTCATCATATTTTCCTTGGATTTAGCTGAATTTTGAATTTACTCTCTTTCGTTTCTAAATGAACTTGCTTGTGCAAGTAATTCTTCCTTCGCATTTTCTTCCTGATTCCGTTGAGCCTGTGATGTCACAACGTTTCTATTGAATATGACGTATTCAGCAAGAAAACTCACAAAGATTGGAAGATTGATCTGATCAAAAGATGGAAACTGAAGCCAAGATCAAACACTATAGCAGAACATAATGATATCTGCACCATTAGAATAAGGTAATATAGCACAATACATAGAAGTTAATCTTTCCAAGGGTTGCTGGTTGATATCTTTATCAGCAGGCTTGCCGTTTGAGAATAAATTTAGAGCCATAAAATGAAATATTGATGCACAAACAAGTGATGCATAAATATGGAGTAAAACTACATGCAGTATTCGTTAAAAAACATAACTATAAGAGACCTTTAACCTCCAAACTTTTTATCAGCGTCTTGCCTCTTTTCTTGCTTTTGCCTTTTAGTAAAGGAGGGCTGAAGTCATGTTTCGCATAGTTGCTCTGGTAATGGCATGTATTCGTAACTTTTTAGCATAGCATCTAATGATCAGTAAATTATCTAAGGAGAGTAAAAACCAAAGAGATTATTCATTGATGTATGGCCTGATTTTGAAAGATTTAATTGGATGAAATTAAAAGGTTAATCCAAATGTTAGAATTTCAAGTAGATAAGTGAATGATGAATATACCTCAACTTGATCTTGCACTTTTTTAGCCTGCTTTAGTTCCAGTTGAAGCTGTATCAACTTGCATTTTTCACCCACAAATTCTTCCTGAAGGAGTCTTTTGCTTCTCCCATAACTGAAACTTCATCAGCGTTGACTTCTCCCTCTTTGATACCTCCTGGTAGCTTGAGTCCGACTCCTCAACGTGCAATTTTGCAGCTTCCATTTCCTGCCTCAATGCAGCATTCTCAACGTGAAGCCTATGAACAACAAAATAAGCTCGCTCTACCTGTCCACTAGCCTTAACCATGGCACTCTCCATTTAGGAAAGCTTTTTCATGGTGTTCTACTCCAGTGGTTTCTTCTCTTTCTTGAGACACTCGACTTCTTCTCTCTCTTGTTTAAGCACCTTGAGCTCGGCTTTATCCTGACTCAGTATGCTAGCAGCCTGCATGACCTTCTGATTCGCCCACTCTGTCAACTCGTGGAGCTGATTTTGTGATTCCCGCTCTCTCTGTACCAACTTCATAACCATTGCAACTTTCCTCTGCACATGCCAATCCCAGATCGAGTTTCAAAGCGTCAGATTTATTGTGGTTCATGCAACTTGTGTCACAACTGTTTGCATGCCTGCGACTTGGAGGAATCTCCACCTTTTCAGCTGAAAATTCAAAACTTGTGCATTCATTTGGAGGTGAAGGGAAGATCTTATTAGGGTCAGCTAAAAGCGGATCGGCTCGGAATTTTCTCTTGTTCCTACTTCCTTTTTCTTCAACTGTCATAAGCCGCATTTGACTGGACCTATTACTAAAATCCTTCACCGCCGTTGACGCCATTTTTCATCTGCAAATTAGAAGATTTCCAGCACTTTACACATTCACAAGTTCAGTACTCAAAAGACAATTCTCCAACTAATCACAAATGTCGAGTGCATGCTTGTTAGGCAATACTGGACACAAGCAAGCACTATCATGAACGAGATTTTAACTCCATTTTCTTCCTTGAACATTCCACAAAAGAAGAGCAATAACAATTATACCATCAGGGGCGGATCCAGGATATTAAGTCAGCTAGGGCGATCGCTAATGACCACAATAATAAGATTGTTTATTAATATTTAATTTAATAATGTTAAAAAATTTCAATCAGTATATAAATACACTAAGACGGGAAAAAAGTCATATACATTTAAAAATATAATCCAATACAATATAAAATAATAAGGGAAAAAAATACATTTTTCAATCATACATGTACGATCAATTTTTAAATTTTTTAGGAATTCAAAAGAAACAATTTATACGTAAAGCATGATTAAATTGTAAAGAGAAGCTATCAAGTTTAGGTGGAGGTTATGCAAAATTTTGAAAA